GAGAGGATCAAATCACAGTCCACCCTCCGCAAAATTTCCAAGATCTAAACAACTTACCAGCCCAAATTACAGAAACCATCACCTCAGCACTCTCAAAAGCCACAATCCTAAAGCCGAATTCTAACAAAACCCTTTTCTTTCTGCCGCCTGAGCTCAATACTCTTATTAAAAATCGTAACCGGCTAAAACGAAGGGCTAAACAATTCATCGACGCAGAGCTTAACAAACAGGCAAACAAACTAAGCAAGGAAATTAAAATTCAGATCTCAAACCTAAGAAACGAAAGGTGGATAGAACTTTTGGAAAACATCCCAACTGGCGACCCGCGCGCCTGGAAAATCCCCAAGGTTATGCGAGGAAAAACAAAAACGCACTTTCCCCTTATACATGGTGAGCGAGGGGTGGTCTATTTGGACGAAAAAACAGCTGAAGCTTTTGCGGACTCCCTAAAATGCCAGTTCTCGCCCAACATTTCTGAAAACGACAACTTAGATTTCGAGGAGGAGGTCGACAACGCCCTCAGCAAAATCGAAGACAATCAAATCCCCCCTGACGCCCTTGCAATCCCCCCCGTAACACTCTCCGAGCTTAACGCCCTAATCGCCCACCTTAAAACCCGCACAAGTCCCGGTCCCGACCAAATAACCAACAAAATCCTCAAACGACTCCCGGAAAATAACCTCAATCACATCCTCACCCTAATCAATGCGTCCTTTTGGCTACGGAAATTCCCAACCCCTTGGAAAACCGCCTCCGTAGTATTAATCCCCAAACCCTCCAAAAACAAAACCTTTCCTCAAAACTGGAGACCCATCAGCCTCCTTCCCACAATTTCCAAACTAACAGAAAAACTCTTTCTCGATCGCCTCCAAAAACTAATTTCAGAAAACCAATAAATCCCTCGAGAGCAGTGCGAACTTATGCAAAAACATGTCTCCGTAATGCAAGCAGCCAGGCTAATTCACGATGCCACGATTGCTTGCCAGAACAGATGCTCCACTGGAGTTGTCTGTCTGGACATAGACAAAGCTTTCGATAAAGTATGGCGCAACGCAGTAATAACAAAAAGAAGAAGCAGGCTACTCCTGCCACCCAGCAGCAAAGTGAAGAGAGGACAAAGGTGCCTTCAATTGTCCTTCGCGAGAAGGACAAATACGACGAGAACACGCGAAGACTAATGGCCAATAAAATCAATTACGGATGTGGAGTGATCACCAAGGAGGGAGTCAGAACACATCCGCCAACTGCCGAAGACTACAGGCAGATGATTAGGGTACTGGATACCTATAAATACCAGTACCACACGTACCAGCTGGTGGAGGAAAAACAGTTCAGAGTTGTCATTACAGGCGTCATCGAATCATGGAGCGATGGAAAAATTAGCGAAGAACTGACTGCTCTAGGATTCCACCCAACAACCATGGTGAGGTGGAAGAAAATTGGCCAGCCAATAGCAGTAGTCCTAGTGCTACTGCCAAAAACAGAAAAGGCCATCTTCGATGTCAGATCGCTAGGAAACGTAATAGTCAGAGTGGAATCCCAGCATGCCAAGAGTCAGCTGACACAGTGCTTCTGGTGTCAGCTCTATGGATACGGACAATCCAAGTGTACAGCCGCCGCAAAATGTGTCAAGTGTGCGGCAGCACATAAATCCTGGGAATGTCCAATTCTCCGGGAAAGGGCTGCGAAGTGCACAAACTGCGGAGGCAGAGAAGCAGCAGGCAAGAAAATAAGTTCAACAAGTCTCTGTGTGTCATGTCTTGGAACGCTAACGGAGTGAAGAATAAGAAAATAGAGCTCCAAGACATCCTGGACAAATATAGCTTCGATGTGTGCCTAATTCAGGAAACTATGCTAAAACCTAGAGATAGGCTTACACTTCGCAACTATCAGACACAGAGCAGATAAGCCAACTAGTGGCGGAGGCACACTAGTCGCAGTGAAAGGGTCCATCCGACACCATGAAATCGTCAAACCTTCGGCAAACCTGGAGGAATTCATAGTGGCTGTCCAAATAGAAAAGTCCGAGATCAGAGTCGGGTCCGTATACGTCAGTCGTTGTGGCGCTACGTTGTGTCCGGAGGATGTTCAAAGGCGTTTCCCAGATGACAGACCAATGATACATGGCCAAAAACAGAAAATGGGGATGCAATTTCAACAACGCCAAAGGCAACATGCTATCAAACGAAGCCCGCAAAAACTTATTTGAGATAGCTAAGTCGCAAGAACCAACGCACATCACCCAAAATGGCAGAGGTGACATCCTGGACCTATTTCTGTACAAAAATGCAGGAAGACTGTCCAGCGTACGTACTTCAGGAATTGTCGTCGGACGATTTGCCGATACTCGTGCAAATTGGACCGAACCAAACCAACAACATCACTGCGACTAAAAGGATCACTAACTGGCAGACTTTCCAGAGCATAATGGAAAGCTTCAGCAGGATCCCCCAGCCCCAAACTGAGGACGACCTGGACCCAGCAGCAGAAAGTCTCACCAGGAAAATAAAAAATTTTCTGGCAGCCTCAACAAGCACATCAGTCAAGATTCCTCCTTGGTTAAAAGCCAAAATCAGGGAGAATAACCGGATACGACGCAGAGCCATGCGTATGCAAGACGGGCTTGTTGTCTTTTAAAAACTGCATTCGAATATTTTCACATTGGAACGAAAAAGCCCTCCTCCTTCGGAGTCGGGTTTTTTCGCCACAATATGAAAATAAACTCATGTAGTTTTTAGACAACAAGCTTTCATGCAAAATTATCGGTAATTTTGAAGCACTTGTGCAATTACCCCCGA